CTTTTGGGGATGATGAAAATGTTCGAAAATTGATTGTGGTGATGGTGGCACAACTCTGTGAATAGGCTGAAAATCATTGAATTTTGGTTGGTTGAATTGTAGATGAACTTTAGATGGATGAACTGTATGATATGTAAATTATGTTTCAATAGAGCTATTAAAAAAACAAAACCAGTGAGATGAAGGACAAACATGAGAAGTTGTCTCCAAATGCAGAGGACAGGAGCAAAGTGCCTAAAGAAAGACAAGGAGGCATCAGAGTGAAGGGCTCACGTGTATGTAGGTAACTAGGAGTCTCTGGAGAGAGCCCCAGAGCAAATGGAATGAAGGTCACAAATATCTAAGAAAATCCCCATTTGCTGATTCCTTGTAAAATCACTCAGACACATAGACACCTAGACATATCTGACTGCTACAAATGGCCAAAAAGCACATTAAAAAATAGTCTGGGTTTCACTATTTAATAAAGTTGTTTGCTTGAATAACTGCCAATGATTTTTTTTAAATGACAATGTCAGCTGTTAGTGAGGCCCCTCATATATCACTGATGGGAACATACCCAAGTAGTAGAACCTACCAGAGGACAGTTTAGAAATACATATAAAGTCCGACCATTTCCTTGTCCACTTTCTTAGCATTAGCACCTCTAAAAATTCACCTGATGAGAAGTGGGGAGAATAGTTTAACCCAGATATTTAGCGACAGGAATTTAACGACACAGGTGTTTGCTGAATACATTTTGCTCCACCACAGGATTATTAACCATGAGGCCATTACTAATGAAGTTTTGGAATAATGCTTAATAATAGAGAATTCTTTTTGGTCAAGGGAAGATAGTTTTTAAAACAGCATACACACTAATTTTTAAATTTAAAATGTTAATATACATACACTGTATATACATATAAGTAGAGTGAGAGATGGAGACTGGAAATGGGAAAAATTCTCGTTACACATTAAATGGCAACAGTGATTTTTATTTTCTTTATGCTTATGTGAAACTTCCATTAATATCATGCACAGGCATCTGTAATGGTAAAAATAACAAAAAAAGGAAAGTTTAGGAAGTTCTCCTTGACTGTCACCTGAGGGTGGAGTCAATCTGTCAGTCAGTGAATTGACCTGGGCCCAGCCAGTGCCTGCAGCCCTCCCCAGCGTCTCCCTGGAGCTATTCCTGACACTTCCCTGGTTCCTGTTTTTGGGCTTGCTGCTGTTTCATCTGCCTGGACACTCCCCTCGTTCTTTCCCACCTTGCTTTCTGCCCGACTGGGTCACCTTTCCTGGAAAGCCCTTCCTCGCCACCCAAGCCAAGCTCACCATTTCCAGCTCTCACCCTACCCTGTGCGTGCACTATTTTTATACTTCCAGCAGCATGATCATTATGTTCATACTTCTCTCTTTCATTGAGTCATTTGAGGATTAGGCCAAGATCTTAATCATCCTTGTGTACTCAGCATCCAGCACAGTCCTGGATAAATGTTTATGGAATGAATGGGTGGGTGAATAAATGCATCTGTCCGCCAAGCTCTAAGCTCACATACCTGTTGAACATCTGTGCTCGAGGGCTCCACAGATTTCTAAATGTAACATTCTCCAAAATGATCTCACCCTCTTCTCCCTGGGGAACCTTGACTGCCCGCCCCTCATTTGGAACCCAAGCTTCTCTTCTGCACGTCCCATCTCCGCGATGGAGCCTCTGTCCCTCTGGGGCCTGGAGCCAGGATTTAGGTGTCTCTTTTTTCTCCCATAGAAGTCCTCCAGGGCTTGCAGTCCTACCAATGGCTCTTGCCTCAATTTCCCTTCTTTCCCTGCACACTGCTGCTGACCTCTTGCCCCCTCCCTCTCATCTGGGTATCTGCCACAGCACCCTCCTCCTGGCCCCAGGAAAAGCTCAATGGCTGCTTCTCCAAGACTTTTTCCCAGTGCTGACCAGCCCCAGGCCAGCCCTATCTATCTCTCCAGCTTCATCTTTCCTCCACCCCACGCTTTTCATCCCTTTCAGGAGCAACCTGATGAGTTCTTCCCTTACCTTTGTGCCTCTTGCATGCTGTTTGTTTTCTCTGGAAGCCTTTTCAACACTCTTGCCTCCCTAACTCATTGGTCAAGCCTTAATTTGGAAGACACTTCCTTCAGGAAACCTTCCTTCCCTCCCCAAATCCTAACTAGGCCCCTCCGATAGAAACTCTCAGGGCTCCTGAGACTTTTCTCAACCCAACCCTTCTCATGCTGTGCTCGTCTACCTCACTGCTCCCTCTCAACAGACAGGAAGTTTAAAGGGAGCAGAAACAAGGCCCACTGTGCATGAACATTCCTCCAGCATCCAGCAAAAATTAAGTTCATCCTCACTAAGTGGTTGGCATTCATTCACTAAGCAAATAGATGAATGAATTTTTGCTTTTACTTTTGCTGTTCTGGGTGCTGACTCAGACTTTGGTACTGGACAAGACCGCTAGTCTTTCATGTCCTGAAGGCCAGGAGGGACCGCAGCTCTGCTGCAAACCGCTGCCTCCTGGCCTCATGCAGGCAGTGGGCTGCCCCAGAGCTGGCCCTTTGGAGGGAAGGCTGCTGAGCTGGGTGTCCCCAGGGGTGCCTTTCATCGGATTGTCTTTCCAAGTATTAATAACCAACTTCCCCATCAGTCACGAGCTTTTCCAAGACTTACAGGAACCTACTCTAAAGAGTAAAGGAAGTTCTTTGTGTAAATGCCATCTTCAAAATATTTTCAGTTTCTGAGTTAAAGGTCTCAGGACTGAAATTCTGGACAGTGTCAGGTTCACTGTGGTGATGTTGCCGGGTTGGGTCAGGCTCAGGATAGCTATAGGGGTGTTGTTCCCGCCCCGATTCAGGAGAGAAAAAGACCAGTGGTGTTTGGGTCTTATGACAGGCAGGAAGCCGAAGTGGGAACTCTAAGGTTTCCACCTGGCTGGGTCAGGTTCAGAGGAATCCAGCGTCTCTGGGGAGCTTGTGGGACAATTGGATAAACTGGGATGGTGTGATGGATCGGAGTCTTGATCAGCAAATATTCATTGTTTTCTCCCTTGCCCTGGCTGCCATGCCTGTGTGTACATCCTGCCCCACTGACCTGGGTCTTGGCCACGTTGTGTTGGCCACTGGAATGTGAGCAGAGGCTTTGAATGTACATATATGTTTCTTCTATCTTGGATTCTTGTCCTTCACTATGAGAAGAATCTGCCTTGGGTCACCCCTGCTCCTTCTGCCTGATCCCCTAAATATAAGTTTTGGACATGTTTTGTTTGAGATGGCTATTACATATCTAAGCAGAGGTGTATATGATCTGGGGTTCAGGAGGTGGTCTGGGGGAAAATCTGCAGTGGGGTGGTCAGCAGATACATGACACTTAAAGCCTTGAGACAGATGAACTTCCCCAGGCTATGGATGGGACAGAAGTCCATGGAGTGAGCCTTGGTTTCCTCAAAAATTTAGAGGTTCAGGGAGATAAAAAAGAGTCAGCAAGGAAACAGAGGGAGAAGCCAGGGAGGCAGGCAACCAGGCCAGTGAGGGGTTCTGGGAACCAAGTGGAGAGGGGGCCCAGAGTTGGAGAAAGTGACCAAATGTTCCTCCAAACTCCTAAGAAGTCAGGGAGATAACATGCAGGACTGGCCGATGGGTTTTGCGACAGGGATGTCACCACTGTCCTTAATAAAAACATATTCCACAGAATCATGGGGTCAAAAACATCAGCAGAAGGACTTTAGGAGAGAATAACAGGACAGGTATTTATAAACATTGACAATTGTTACCAAAGCTTTGCTCAGAAATGAAGGGAGAGCAATGCAGCTGTAGCTGGAAGAGAAAGTAGCATCAGGAGAGATTTTTTTAAGCAACAGGGTAATAGAATAATAAGTTTGAAGGCTGATGGAGCTGACCCAGGAGAGGAGAGAGTGATGATGCAGTGAAGATGGAGGAGTGGTGGCCTGGCTCATCCCTTGTAAGGGGAGAAAGGTGGAGTGTGTGCACTTCCAATATGGAGGGGGCAGGAATGGTGGTGGGAGCTTTCCAGCGTTCTCTTCCAGTTGCATCAGCTTTCTCAGTGAAATAGGGTGCCAGGTCGTCAGCAGAGAGTTAGCATGCAGGAAACAAAGAAGACAGTCACCCTGGAGAGTTGAAGAATGAATGGACCAATGCTGTATTGCTCACGTGCTGACCGGCAGTGACTCTTGTGAGCATGTTTACCTCCTGTCTAATAAAGTTTCCAGACAGACCTATGCACTAGGCCCTATTTTTGCCTCATTTACAGATGAAGAACTTGAAGCACAGAGTAGTCAAGAAACTTGCCCGAAGTTACCATAGCAAGAAAGTGGAAGAGTCAGAATTTGAACGCAGGCAGTCTGGCTCTGAGCCTAAAAACTTAATCACTAGCCTGACCCAGTTAAACTCATTCAAGTCTGTCACAAAACTGAACTAAATGGAATACCAGTTGAACTAATGTTTGTGGTGCAACCACTGTGCACACCCTGTGCACCGTGCCAAAGAACCACGATAACAATGCGCAGGTGGGACTACCCAGTTAAGCTGAGTAGCTAGACACATCAGACCCTCCCCAAAACATGCTGAGATCATTTGGAACCTTTATCTTGAGCAGGTGGACAATGTACAATGTGGTTCTCAGAGCAGAAAGAATTTAAAAGAAGGTAACTTGGGGCGGGGGGAGGAGTGCTGTTTGTCTTCCTATTTTTGGATGCTCCATCCTGCTCAGTGGGGAGGAGGGCTTCCAGGTATATGGGGGGCGTCTCGGAATTTTCTTTTTCTTTTAATCAAAGGTATCACTCTACAACACGAGAGTACTCGTTCCACTTATACAAGCATTTCCAAAAACCATTTTCTCGAGAAAGAGTGCTCATAATGCATCATCTACCCTCAACAGCCACCCACTTCCTCAAATGCAAGGAAGCTGGCAGTTTGAAAAAAAAAAAAAAAGCCCAGAGGCAGCCGTTGTTTATCACAACCTCGCCTCAGTGAGGCCTGAGATTCTCTTGAGCAGGAGCTTTGCTTCTCATGACACGCGAAGTGTTAACTGGGATATTTCTGGTAAAACTGAAAGCAAGAAAAGCGGGGCGACACTTCACAAGGTCTCAGCCCCGGTGGAACTGCGGCCGGGGGTTCGGCAGGGTGGGGTGCGCGCCCCGAGTGACAGATGGATGGCCCTTTCTTCTGAGAGAAAGGAGACATGCCGGCAGACCAACCTCAAACCCCAGATTGCTTGTGAAGAAATCATAGAGGGGAAAACACGCGCACACCAACTAGAGCGGAAGATTGAAAAGGCAAGAACGGAGCGGACTGGGACTGACTGCCCGCTTCAGCAGCTACTCACCTGAACCAGAGGCAGGATGTCCCTGAAGTTGCCAAGAAACTGGGACTTCAGCCTGAGAGGGGAGGCTGGGAAAATAGGTACAGTCCGTGGTTTTTTTTTTTTTTTTGCTGCCTTTGTGGTTCTTACACTTGAGCACCCACCATTTGCATGTTGGTCTGCAGGGAGCAGAGTCTACTTAAAAATGGAGCTCTTAGCAAATCTGGGCTTGGGGGAAATTTTGCATTCAAGTTGATATATTGCTCCAAGTTTTCAAACACTGGGAAGCAGTTCTCTTGTGTGTGGAGATGACAGTGGAATGGAGCTCTCCTGGTGTGTGGGGTCTGGGGTACTTTGGACGGGCTAATGCTACAGATCACACACAAAATTGTGAGTTTTTCTCATTTATCCTGGAAGGATAATTTCCCTCATGTTTGTTGGATACTCATCTGTATTTTGAATGTTTTTTGACAGGGGCACAGAGAGTAGAGTCTTTTGAAGTGCTTGATCTGTGAGTTTTGTGAGCCCCTTGGGCCTCTGGGCACTCTGTGGACTTAGGGATCTGAGGTGGGGTTGGTTAACTGGGGCAAAAAGTAAACTATGAGGATGAGGCAGGAGCACAGAGGCATTTGAAGGTATAATAAAGACACTTTTAGTTAAAGGGACAGAATGGAAGGGAATTATTATCTAAGGGAGTTGAAAAAGAGAGACACGTTTTTGATTAATTATTTTAAGGGATGCTGGCATGCTTTCTGAGCTATTCTGGCCTTTAATCCATCCTCTTCTCATTAATGATGATGGTGATACATTGATTTTAATCCATTTGTAATTGTTATCATGAGTTTCTTTATATGGCTTTCTTCCATGAAGTTGATCACAGTAATTTAGGATAGAACAATTTGGCTGAAGTGGTTCCATATGTTTTATTTGTATACCTGTATAGTGAGATAACTTCCTTGATATTAGACACAGGTAAGTATTAAAGTGTTTCTAGTGGCTTGGAGAAGTTTTGCTTAGAACAAGGTTTAGACTTGGGCTTCTAAAATTAGTGTGGTTAATATGCTACTAAAATATGTGGTCCACTACAAATTCACATAACGGAGTGTTAATGATGTAGGTCTGAGAAGCGATGTGAAAGAAGAATGAGAACAGTAAGAAGTCGTTTATCTTGGTAAGCAAGGAGGACTAGCAAGCTAAGAATCTTTGCATGCTGAGGTTGGTTCAGAAAATAGGTAGTGTACATACCTTTTACAGCTGCAAGAGAGTTTGCTCCTAGCTACTGGTTTTCCTAACTGGCTATTACCAATGTATTTAGCCAAGTAATTCTATGTCATAAAAATCTGATTTTAGAAGTAGAACTTCCATGGCTTAGTTCCTTTGAAAGTGTCCTGCTTCCGTTTACATAGGGTTGTCCTACCCTCTCACCATCTGTGTTTGAGCAGGTCTCACTCTCTTGTTTAAAAAGAAGAAATGTGAGATAATTAATTGATGAAAAGGTTAAATGCTTTTTTTTTGGGATATAAAAAATTACCACAGTAGAGCTCAAGTCTGCATATTCTCAGACCTGGGATTAGGTTGGGTAGATTTCATGATTTCTACCAATGTTTCTTAAATCATGGTCGCATGGATAACCTGTGTCAGAGTCACTGCTAGTGCTTGCTATAAATGAAGATTCCTGGGCCCTCTCTGGACTCATGGGATCTGAATTTCTGGAAAGAGACCTGAGCATCTGCACTTTAACAAGTACCCACCCCTCCACCTAGTGAAGAAGCCCTGTTGTATGGTCTGTGGTCTAAGTCACTAGATTAGAGAGTTACCATTCTTCCAGATCAGAGCATGGTGCCTGATCCTAGGGGGCATATAATAAATACTTGTTGACCAAATGACTGATTGACTACAAGCAAATTATATTATTTAGTATTGTTCAATGAAAAAAAATAATTGCATAATGAAATATAGAAGAGCCTGCATCAATATCCATGCCATTGACAAGTTTGTCACCCTGAGAGACTGGACTGCAGCCAGAACATTCTCACTGATGATAATTCAGGTCATAGGCTGAGTCGTCTGAGGGGAGAGAGTCACTGACTCAGCCATAGGACCTCTGGACCTCTCTCCAGCATCTTGTGTTCAGATACACCCATAGGAAATGGCTTAACAATATGTCAAGGAAGCTCACCTCTGTTAGGAAGATGCATAGAACTGGGAGTCATGTCAGGGAAGCCAGTGACCTGGGCTTTACCAGCCTGAGCTGTTGAGGAGTAGATCAGGGTGTCTCAACCTGGACTGGACACTATGGATATTTTGGAGGGGGTAATTCTTAGTGATGGGGGCTGTCCTGTGTATTATAGGATGCTAGTAGCATCCTTGTCCTCTACCCACTGGATGATGGTAACACCCCCCATACCAGCTGTGACAATCAAAAATACCTCCAGATTTGCTTGATATTTGGGGAGAGACATCTTCCATAGTAAAGAAGCACTGGAGTGAATGATCACCAAATTCGTGTGTTTATAAGGTCAATTGGGGCTAGAACCCAAGTATTACCCTATGATTCACTTTCTATGTCACTTTTCAGAAGGCTTTAGTTCGACAAAATTTCAGGGGAATGGGTAGGAGCATGAGCGGATACCAGGTTCAGCACATGTTTAGGGAAATAGCAAGATGCTGACCTATTATGTGGTCCAGGAAGGGGCCTCAGCTTTTTTTTTTTTGGCTAGCTGTGCTTCCATGTTCCCCTAAGAATGTGGCCGGGCCACCCTGCATCTGATCTAGTGACCATGGTAGGGACCAGGATTGGAGGAAAGGGCAATGCAGAGCAAACAGACTTGACTTAAGGTAAAGTCAAGGTCCTTTAACATCTTAAATTTAGGTCCATCAGTTAAAATCTTGACAGCCTCCCACTGTGTTCATTCACTGCTACTCAAATCTTTTACCCTCTCACATATTTGTCTACCTGAATCACAAGCCCTGGAGTTGAGTGTGCTAGACTACAGCACCCTTTCCTGCACACTGTCAGGGAGCCTGGCACATCCAGTGCCTTCCGCATGGTGCTGCACTGAGAAGGCATTGCCCACCCAGGGAAGCCCCCTTTTGCCCTGTGGTTTGGGAGTTCTTAGTTAGGAAACTGCTCAGTGAATTTCAGGACCACCTGCACTGTATCCACTAGTAAGCACATCTTACTGTTTCTCAGTTCTCCCAAGCCAAAATAGGGGAGAACAGGCCCTAGAGAGCATATGACTCTGAGATACATAATGAAAGCAGCTATGGAGGGGTGGTTGCTTTCTTTTCCCTTTTTATTCCCTTTGAAATTTAATGTTGAAGAAAAATTATTAAGAAACAAAAATTTATTATTCTAGATTCCCAAATAATACAGTGAATAATGACAATACTGGAGCATTTTTTCCCCACTATTTTTCCATTTGATAAATCATTATTTGTCTGGTATGGGGTCTAGTTTTGTACTTTAGAAAATCAGAGTAAAAGGAATGCGAACAATTGTTACTCAAGACCTTTGTAACTAGACCAATTTATAACACCATAAAACTTTAGACAATATAGGCTTTATTCTTGTTAAATCAGATTTGAAAGCCTAGTTTTAGATAGATGCATAGATTGATACATAAATACACAGAGATAGAACTGAATACACAAAAGTCCTATGAATAAATAAAAAGTTACTAAAAAATGAACATGAGTAGGCATTTTATAGATCAGGAATAATACTGCCAATAAACCTGTGCAAATGTGCTTAATCATGATAACCAGGAAATGTAAAGTAAAAACACAAAGGTTTACTTGTTTTCACTGACCAAATTGCCTAAAATGAAAAAGTCTGACAATATCAAGTGTTGTCAAGGATATGGAGCAATAGGAACTCACAAACGCTGAGGATACAACCATTTTGGAAAACAATTTGGGAGTGCTTACTGAAACCGATAGTGCACAAACTCTATGAAACAGCCATTTCACTCACGAGACTGTCCACTGGAGAAGTGATGGTGCCTGAGAATGGGGACATATGTACAGAAGTTTCATAGTATTGCTTGTAATAACCAGAGACAGGAAACAACCCAGTTGCCCATCAATAATAGATGGGAAAATAAACCATAGTATCTTTGTAAAATGGAATGCTGCACAAGAGCAAAATGTATGGTTAAGTGGGACTGATTAGCAAAAACTTAATATTCTGCAGAAAAGGAAAGTCAGAGAGAGTAGAACTGTATTCATTTATATTAAAGTTAAAAACTATATGTATATGGCAAAACTATAAAGAAAAGCAAGGAGTTGACTAATATAAAATTCAGGGTGGTGGTTATTTCCAAAGGGGAAAGGAAGAGAAATGCCTTGGGGAAACCTAATCTAAGTGGTAGGTTCATGAGAGTTTACTTTATTATTGTATGTAAATGAAGAAAGAAACGAGCATATAAATAAACTCTCAAAAATCTGGAAGGATGTACACACAATTTGTTAATAGTAGTAACTATAGGTGAAGGATTTATGTGTGAGATAAACCCACATACATATGTATTATTCTTTTATAAGTATTTTCCAGGCTTTCTATAGTGAATGCATATTAAATATACTATTAAAAAATACTGAAACTAAAACAAATTTCAAAGTGCTTGGTCAGGCATGTGGGGGTAAGGTTATAAAGGCAATACCTGCTTGCTGCCAATCAGCAGCCAGCTGCAAAGCCCTCGTCTGACTGCAGAGGTTGGTCATCTGCGGACTTCTGGACCTCTAGAGCCAGAATACGTGTTTTTCTTGGAAGACCTAGGTGGCCTCATAGTCACCAGGGCAGCCTGCATGAGCATTTTCCTCATTTTTTCTGAACACAGAAGTGCTGGTCCCCAAGTTGGAAACCCCAAGACTGTGCAGGCCGGCTGAGCTGCTCTGTGTTTGTTTGGCATTCAGCTTTCATGAACACATTCTTTACACTTCATTGTCCAACTTGTGCTAATCCAGACCACCCTGAGTTCTGGAGCAAATGTAGCCTATCTGTTGTGGCTGAAGCCTTTGCCCTCACTCCCTGGGGAATCCGGCCCCGGGTGGATAAAGGGCTCCACACGCGCAGGCAGAGTCCGGATGAGACAGGGCC